ACATTTATTCGAGAGAGACACAGACAGAAGAGGAGAGAAGGAGAGATAGACAGTCATTTGAATAGCATTGTATCCAGTTTATTTTAGAAGTTTACGTCTCAGAATTTTTCTGTTTTTGATATTGCGAATTTTTTCAATATCTGCAGGACTATCAATATTTACAATCATTAACCAGGCTACAGTAAAGCTTTTAAATGCCTAAGACAAGCATAGCTTCAGGCGGCTGCAAAAATAATATACATACAAAAGTGAACAAATTAAGAGATAATACAAATAAAGGAAAATAGAAAATTAAGTATTAAATAAATATTCATTTTATTACAGGAAAAAATAATTACTTAGCTTATTATTTCGATAGACTGGAACAATAAATTTTGCACTGGAATTCCAATAATGCGAAACGGTATTCATATGATGCTGGATGCAACTTTGCCTTATCATTCGCTGAAATTATTCCCGCACTTGATAAGGTGTTTGTACTATTTTTGACTCAACACTTGGGAGATAAATTTCAATTTTTAAGAAAAACATTTTTTTTTTCTTTTTAATTATATCTTTTCTGGGAACAAACAGCTTTAAGGAATTATTCAATTCTTCAACTTGCAGTTTAGCCAACATTTATTAATTCACTTCAAGCATTACAAACGAAAAGTCGCGTCAGGCAGGCAGAATAAAAAATCAAAAGCTATCTAAGTAACAACGAAAAACTCTGCACAGTCTTAATCCACAAATAGACATTAGTGCTCGCAGAGAAGTTGCATTAGCATGGCCAAAACAGTCGAACTAAATGCGAGAACCAAATGAAATCCGTTGAATTGAGCTGCAGCAGCATTGCGACCATTGTAATAGGGATAGGGGCGTCCATCATCAACGTCATTAGCGATGTCCGGCTGCCCGAATATATACTGCTGCACATAGCTGGAGCCCAATATCGAAGTATACTCCGGCTTGTAGTTGTAGATCAGCGAACGCGCCTGCTCTGTGGCATTGGTGTAGCTGTGGGAATTGCGGCGCGCTTCGCTGATGAGGAAGTCGGCGAAATACTGTGAGCTCTGCACCGCTGAGGGGGAGTGCGGCACCTTGTTGCTGACAAACTCGTAGAGCGGTTTCTCCGGATGAAATTGTACGCCATAGAAGGGATAAGTCAGATGCTCAATGCTGGACACAAATTCCAAGCCATTCACGTCATGATTGAGGGACATGATGCGCCACGAGTTGTTCAATTTGGGCACGGTGAAGCTCTGCTGCGTGTAGCAGTAGCGATGATAATTATAGGTGACATTCTCCTTGCTCAGCTTCCCGATGAGCTCCTCGCTGGCGCCGGCAAACAAACGACTCTTTCTGTAGTCTGAAAGGGATTTTATTTATTTATTTTTGTTTAATATAACCACAAGATGATTCAGGTAGCCTCTCGACAATGCTTACCCGGTTTCAGTTCCAGTGGCAGAGACTGTCCTACGGACTCGCAATTAGAGCGCGTTTCCGTATTATTTGCCATTTTGAAGACAAGCAATTCCATGCCCAGGCACGTGCCCCACACCGGAAAATAAGTGCCGTTATCATTCAGCTGCTTGGCCACGGCTATCAAGTGCTCGCCCGCATCACCATAGCCGTTTGTCTCATTGAAGTAAGTCGCGCCGCCAGGCAGCAGTAGACTAAATAAAGATTAAATTCATTCAATTAAAATAACCCAACGATGTAGTCATAGTCGCTAGTCGGTTGGCATACCCATTGATCTTCTTGAGCAACTGCTCGTAGTAGCTGCGATTGTGTCCAGTGCTTGAACAGTTAATAAGATGCCATAAATTAGCTTTAAGTTTGAGTATATACATGCTAAATATATATTTGAAATCTGCCTGTCATGGCACACCATCACAGTTGTAAACAATTCAATCACGCCTTATCTGATCTTAGCTGTGATAAGGCCCGGTTGACTTTGCTGTCTCCGTCAGCACTCACCCGATGGGCACCACACGCCCGCCAGCGCCCTCCACGAACTTCACATAGGAGGCGGCTATGTAGCTAGTGGCATTGAAGTTTCTGGCAATCAGGCCATTTGGATAGACCTCCTGGGCGAGCACGCCGATGATGGGGGATATGATGCCATTAACATCGGCCACAGACAACGGCACTAAGCAGCAGAGCAGCAGACCGACAAAGATCGAGCGAATTGTCCTCAACATCTTCGCAACTGGTTGTTGTTGTTATTGTTTTTGTTGTAGTCTCTTCAATCGAATGCGCGCAGCTCCTTCAGTCGATGAACTAAGCAGCACTGACATTGCGAAGTAAGAAGCATTTTCAATTTAAATTAAATTTGTAAATATTTGCCAAATGACTCGCTAATATGTGTGCGTGGCTGTATGTGTGTGTCTGCCTGTCTATGTGTGTGTGCATTGGCAGGTGTAAGTGATACGTGAGTTTGTGTGAACTTGCTGCAGGGCTAACTGATTAAATTATTATCACCGCGCAGTGAGTGATTTGTCACGGGGAACTTTTATCTGGCTTTTGGGCCAATAGTAAAATAATTAAACTAACTTAAGCGCTCGCCACGCCCACATGCCGCTCGCCCACTGATCGCACATGATCCGCAGCAGCAAAGACTATAAAAAAGAAAAAAACAAGTTGATCCGCTTATACAATTACCTTACAACTGCAAGTCATTAATTTAGTAGCACCCCAGCCAGGTGTAGAAAGGTGATTTTCGTATTTCTCATTACATTTTCCACTTTAATCGATCGTTGTTTTTAAGAAAAACAAAATAAAACAAAGAAACAAAATATTTGCAAAGTCTTTGCCGGTGCTGCCATCTGTTTGGTTCCTCTCATTTTCTTCTTCTTCATCATTTCGCCGTTTTTCGGCTATCGATGTCCTATCGAGTAATCGATCTGAATATTCACGCTACGTTGGACATCAGCTGTTGCTGTTTTTTCTTAATGCTGTTTTGTATGCTGAGCAAATATTTCATCTCCACCAGCGTCTGCTTGACAGCCGCCAGATCGTTCGTTTCGAACTGTGCCGTTAGTTTATTCGCCTTATCAGCTAGTTCTTGGACAATTTGTGCATATAGCTGATCGAGCGCCTTGCTATCGTCAGCCTCTTCCACCTCCTCGTTGCGCTCCATCATGGCCATCAGGAAGGCCGTATTCAGTGCACTGTTATCCTGCGGCATTTGCTCGCCCTCCAGCTGCAGCATATATTGCCCTCGCTCCACGGGCGCCGCCAGCGTTTTATATGCCTTGTTGATTAGGGAACTCCAGTCCGCCGAATTGGTTTGCTCGCGGGTAGTTCTGCAGGTGCAGGTGGTGGCCATAGGTCAGAAATGGAATGCTAATTATTAATCTGTCGACTTACTTATTGCTGTATTTATCGGGATGCACGCGCGCCTGCAACTGCCGGAAGCGCTGCGTCAGCTCCGATGCTTGCAGTTCAAACTTCGTGGGAAAGTTTAACAGCTCAAAGTAGTTCTGTAGGTGGGAAGAACCTAACAGTCAATTAATTGTGCATTCCATGGGTCAGCTATTTAATTACTTGCCGTGTTATTATCCACATCCTGCAAACTGCCGCAATCCCCGCATATCATGTTTTTGCCCGGCTTTTGACAATTCCAGCATACTGATGACACGTGTCTCGCCGTGAGCTCATTTATTCTATTATTATTTAATCCACTGAAACCAGTTCTTAAATATGCAAACGTCCGCCGCATTTTGCAGCAATAATGAAAAAACTAAGCTCTTATCAATTACACAAGCGAACACACAATAACAAAAAACAGCTGATATGACAGCTGACAACAGTCTGGCAACGCTGTCATACAGCCCAGTATTCTCTCACATTCTCTTTTAACAGCAATGCAAAATATTTTGTATTTAATGCAAGCGCAAAACAACTACAAAAATAAAATGCATCTATATAAAAAATATATATATATATTTTTTTTGCATTTAAAAAAAAAATAAAAAAATTACGCAACACTTCAAATTGTGTTTGCTGCTCCAGGTGAGGCTCGAACTCACAACCCCGGCATTGCTCATACACAGTTACTGATTATAAGTACCGTGCGCTAACCAATTGCGCCACTGGAGCCTTCGGAATTTTTTTGCCAAATGCCTTGTTTGAAAACTGAATGAAAATTCCAGTCGTTCCCGCAACCCCTTTTACTAAAATTCTAACTTAAATCCTAGATTTTCACAATGGAACGAAACTGAGAGAAAACGATGAATTCAAATCAAATATATAAACGAAATATATTTATATAGTTCGTTTGAAATTCACGAAAGGACATATTTATTGATATGTTTTTCGTATATATAATATTTTAGGGATTACAAAACTAACATTTAGATTGAGTCTTTCCTGTAAGCTCTGTAGTTGTTCATTTCAGTGGGAAAAGTCTTGTACAACTCCAGTAGCAGATTGGCCTTAAATTTCTTCAAGCTCTCGATTTTGCCTTTCACCTCTTCATTCTTGGCCAGCGCCTTTTCCACACAGTCCTTTGTATACAGTTGAGGGTTCTTATCCTGGTCGATGTAATCGAAGAACACCTCGAAGGGCACATAAACATCCTGCACCAGCGGCCGCAATTTATCTATTTCCTGCAAGCCGGTGACCAAACTGTTGCTGCATTTTCCAACAAAAAATAATTGTTTAAGCTTGGTTTGCAATACATCGCAGATTTTCTTACATTTTCTGATTGAGAACGTTTTGGCCCTGTGGTTGAAAATCGCTTACGATTATACGTATTTGCCTCACATTCTCGATGAACATTTCTAGTTGCGTTTCCAAGTTTTCTAGCGCCGAAGTCATTTTCAGCAATTTTTTGACAATTTACAAAAGTTTTACACAATTTTATATAGTTTTTTCTAGAGACTGTTGTTTGCTCAGCTGTTTGTTTATATCTGTAGCTGCTTCTTCCACCTCTGTGCACTTATGCAGTGTATCGATAAGTATTTCTGACGATATGCGCCTATCGATAGTTTACTGACAGGTCCATTCTGTGTGCAAGTATCGATACACTGCCTGCCGGAGCGAACAGTGCATATTTTTACATACTTTTTAATAAATATAACAAATTTAAAATATTAAATTGAAGAGTAATCATGTCTGACGGCGATTTAGATGCATTGCGCGCCCAGCGCATGGCGGAATTAGTAAGTAAAGGCAAAACCATGTGCTCAGCAAATGTCAGCGGCAAACTTATTGCCAAATGCCAAAAATAGCAACAAAAGTAAAAGAAATAAAATAAACAATATATAAAATATTTGAAAAACGAATTCATCGACTTAAGCATATACTATGCAAGTTATGTTTGATGTCTTAAAGCACTTTAGCATGACTCATAATTTTTGCTGTTGCGGCTGGCTTGCTGCACACCTGTGAGAGAAAGGGTATCCGCTAATCAATATACTCCTTCAATGCTTATCTAGAGTGGCGGCGGTGGCAACAATGCTGAGAAGCAACAGGCGCAACAGGAGCAAATGCGCGCCCAGGAGGAAATGAAGCACTCAATACTCTCCCAAGTGCTCGATCAGCAGGCGCGCGCACGACGTAAGTAAACAAAGTGGTACAGTGAAGTCCGACTAACACAAACGATCTCAATTGCAGTGAACACACTGAAAGTGAGCAAACCGGACAAAGCACAAATGTTCGAGAACATGGTCATACGTATGGCCCAAATGGGCCAAGTGCGAGGTAAACTGGACGATGCCCAATTCGTCAGCATCTTGGAGAGCGTCAATGCCCAGATGCCACAGAGCAAACCCACAGTGAAGTACGACAGACGCCGTGCAGCCATAGACAGCGACGACGACGAAGACTATGGCTGCTGATTATAGCCCAAATGGATCGAACTGCTTCAGTTTTCCCTTGGATCAGAACCACGCAACCGAATTAGAATTCGAAGAACAGATGTGCTTTAGAGATTTCGCTAATTTTATCAACTATGTTTATTAAATGAAGAAAAAATGAGAGAGAATACAGTGAACCTTCGCTCGTCACTGATTTTTGTATGTGCCAGCATTTGTATTCAATGCGGCTCAAATATTTACTCGTATAAGGCAGATCTTAATATTCTTTGAAGACACTTCTAGAGATTGGTAATTTTTCCAGCTTGAGAGACATCCCATCATCAAGTTATCTTGTATGACATATTATTATGTCAGCTTTATAATATACCACTTTAATCTCTCACTCCTACATATGTAAATTAGGCTTAAAGGAAGCAGCGACTGTATTTCATGGATATTAATCTTAACTGTAAGAAGTACGAACCCTTCTAGGTCTTCCATTTTCATGGTAACAGCTCCGATACTGTTTTTGATTCTCAAAATCTTGGTTACTAAAAAAGAACTTACTATTTATAAGCTTTTGAAGTAGTTGAGTATCAACTCCCCCTTATGCTTCATATAAAGGTCTCCTCGCTTCTGTTTCAAATGTTATAGGGCATAAAAAGTCATTTATGAAATCAAAAATTCATTGTTTCTATCAGCAAAATGTTTATGTCGTTTAAAATAAGACTAGATTTGGCTTAATGCAAGTACATTGTAAATTGTGAAAATTGCACTAACAATGGGATGAACTATTTTTTGAGAGTAGATGCTCCTTCGATTGATCCTCCAGCTTGTGTACTCATTGTAGTAATCCACCTGCTACTTATATGTGACACGACAGAAAGAGGCGTAGACTTATCTATCTACTCTTCCCCCTTGCTCTATTTGTTCTATTCTTAATTCTCCTGCTCCTCTCGATCTACTTCTTCACGAAAACCATCTCTCGCCTCTACTCCTTCTTCCTCTTGCAATCCTTTATGCTTCTCTACTCCTTCTTTTCGTGATCCTCCTCCTGCTCTTCCTCTGTGACCAGACAATCGCCACAGAAAATGGAATATATGATGAGCGACAGAAAGCCCAGTGGCAGGCCAAAGATGACAGTCATCAGCACCGGATTGCCGCGCCACATTTCGCGCAGGGAACGCTTCAGCTCAAAGAGTGCCCGATTCACTCGTACAAAATACGTATCACCGCCATAGGCCGTGGCGCTCTCATTGCTAATTGATTCGAGGAACAGATGCAGAGCCTGTGGCGTCATCTGCAGCGGATCGTCGTCGGGTATATAGTGATGCTGAGTCGTGGAATTCAGCGCTATCAAATGAGGCGTTGGCAATTGGTCCAGTATAATGGAATGCGCTATGGACGGATCGCCAATCTGAAAGAGCAAAACAATTAGGAAATGAAACTTAATTTGTTTCTCTTTCTCACCCATCCAAATTGGAATTTGTCATGGTAACGTGGTCGATGCTTGCGTATGACACCCTCAACCATGTCGCGGAACTCCAGCTCATGCGTCGCTATCTGACTTAGCTTATCCTCCTGCACCACAGCAAGCACCAAGAACTTTTTCGTCTTCAGCAGCTGATGGATATTGAAACGCGTGACCTTAGGGAACAGCGTGAAACGCTCCACATTGACCCATTGGAATATGGTTTCATTGACATCATTTGGATCCATTTCGTGCGCCACGTGTCCGTGTGGATAGAAATGATGCTGCTCCTCCTTATACACAATGACAGCGGGCAACTTCTCGAAATCGAAATGTTGAGCAGCTATCTCCTCGCTCGTCGCATAGAAGAATCCGTGCTCCTGGTAGCCCTCGGCGGCTGCATAGTACGTGTCCCAGACAACACCTTGCTGGGGGCCCACAAACATAAAGAAGATCGTATGGGAGCCTTTCAGCATATCCACGCTGTCGGTGCGCGTGACCAGCTGGACAGGTGGCCCCGACATCCTCAGAGCGTAGTCGACCAGTTCATCCTTGCTGCGATCCCCATTGTAGATGAACTCCATGTTGCCCTTGATGAACATTATTGTGGGATAGCCACGCACTTTGAACTCCCTTGCTGCAGCAGGATATTTGGTGCAATCCAATCGTCCCACTCGCACATTTGTCGCATGGAGCGCCTGAGCGACGAGCGCAAATATCGGCTCCGTCTTCTTGCAATAGCCGCACCACGGGGCATAGAACATCACTAACCATTGACCTTCATGGCGCACATCGATGAAGCGATCGCTCAGCTCAAGGACACGCGACGATATGGCCGGCGTGCCGAGGATCAACAGAAACAGCAATGGAAGACTCCAGCCCCATATTGATTGATGCATTTCGCTGGCTGGCTGGCTGCTGCAGTTGAATGTTGCTGAATGATGGTAACTCGTTCCTGTTATTGCATAATTAAGTACGTTTCATGTGGCTTTCTTTTCTCAGTTTTGTTACACTGTCATCAATAATTAAATTAGCAAACAATGATAATTTTTCTAAAACCGAAGAAAAAATCCACCCCCATACTTAGTTGTTTAGCTCTATTGTGAACTAGTTCAGTGACACTATGACTTGCTGCACAAAATATCGATGACTAAAACAATCGTATGAAAAGGCAGTGAATGTGAATCTGTTTACTTTCCATACATCACAATAGGATCGATTAAAATAATTGTTTTCGAACATTTATTTTACATAGATATTATTGTTGTTATTCATTTTCACTTTATGAATATCAATTCACACACCCAATTCCAAGCCAACTTCATCACATTGTGTCACTGTACTTATCGATAGCTATAACAATCGTTTAGCCAGCGCTGTGACTGGCTTTGTTTACATCGTGTTTTATGCAGTCTGGCAAGGCCAGTGACAACGCGCTCGACGCACGTGTGATTTTGTTTTCTTTAAGTAAAACTCAGTTTTAAGCAAGTTTTACAATGAAAGCAAACGTGCCCATTAAATCAACAGGCACCGCCCAGGTGCACAATGCGCGTTTCTACACAATAAGTCCACGTGCGATTGTCAGTCTGGCGTATAGCAAGCTGCTTAAATGCCTGGCGCTCAGCCGGTGAGTAAAAAATAATATTATATTTATAAAAGAAATAAATAAAATGAATGTCCATGTGCTGTGCAGTGATGATGGCTCCATAGAGCTCTGGGACATGAGCTATGCACCCTATTTGGAGAAAGTGATAAAACTAACGCCCGAGTCGCAGGTGGAGAACATGGCCTGGGCTGGCAAGCGACTCTTCTCGGTGGACTTGACGGGACAGCTAGTTGAGTGGGATCTGAATACGTTGCAGCCCCGGAATGTACAATCGCCCACAGGAAATGCGCTGTGGTGCCTGGATGTAAATAGTGCCGAGACCGAGCTGGCCGTCGGCTCCGAGGAGGGACACATTAATCTAATGAGCATTGAGCAGGACGAAATCAACTATAAATTGCTGTTCAGGAAGCAAGAGGGACGCGTTCTTTGCTGTAAATTCGATAAGCCAGGCAAGCGCCTCGTTACTGGATCAGTGGGCGCTGTGCGCATCTGGAACGTGGCCACTGGACACACGTTGCACACCATGACTCTATCAGCCAAGAATGTCATTGTCTATACGCTGCAGGTGCTGAAGGATGATACAATAATAGCAGGTGACTCGGCGGGCTATGTCACCGTTTGGAATGCAGCGAATGCAACACAAGTGGAGGCCAATCAGGTGCTCGATAAGCACGTCTTTGCTCTGGCCGTGAACGAGGAGGAGGATCGTCTGGTGTGCAGTGGCATGAGGCCGCCTCTGATACGTGTGCTCAGCAAAACGCAAATCAAACGCGAGGACTCCGTTTGCCAACGCTGGGTGAAGTTCCTGCAGCGTGAGGTGCACAGACATTATGTCAAGGCGCTGCTGGTTGTCGGGGATCGCATAATATCCGGCGGCCAGGATGGCCTGCTCTGCATCTCATCCAGCACCAAGTCGCGCGCCTACACAGCCAAATATGCGCCCTATCTGGCTGGCAAATGCGCCAGCTTAGCATCGAGTGCGAATCTAATGCTGCTCCGATATCCGCAATCCTTACACTTGTGGCGCTTGGGCGTGCCGAGTGACCACACAACGGAGAACCAAGTGGCGCGCATGTCAGTGGGCAGCTGTGAGCAACTGAAGCTGGAGCAGGGCCCCGAGATGCTCGTGCAGCTCGTCGTGGGCGCCAGTAAATTTATACAGGCGTCTGCCATTTCGCCGGACAGCAAATGGATTTGCTACTCGACGCTTGACGAGCTGCGTCTGAGTCGTTTGGAGCTGAAGCCGCTGGCTGTGACGCGCCTGACAAAAGATTTGCCCGCCGAACTGGAACCGGCCAAGTTTATAATTTTTGGCAACGACTCGCTCTGGCTGCTGCACGCGCCCACATATCAAATGCGCTGCTTCACTCTGACGGAGCAACAGGTGGACTTTGCCTACAGCATCGACTTGAGCAAGGAGATCAAGTCGCCGATCAGCCTCGTGGAGCTGTCGCCATGTGGCAAATACCTGATCGTAGCTAGCACCAATCACCTGATTGCCATTTGGCAGCTGCGCGGCGCCAAGTCGAGGCACTTGCTCAACCTGCCGCGCTACAAGGCGGGCACCACGGCGCTGGCCATGCACGCGGGCAGGCCGAACCTCGTGGTTGCCTATGCCGATGGACGGCTGGTGGAATACGATCTGCTGCAGCGACGCTTCGTCTGCGAGACCGAGAAGCATTTTGTGCCAAATGCGCAGTTGCATAGCATTCGCGGCTTGCTGCTCGATGCCAACAATCCCAACATTGTCATCGTCTACGACGAGGTGCACCTGTATGTGCTGCAGAGCTATGAGCAGGAGGAGCAGCAGCAGCAGGAGCAGACGGTGCCACTCACAAAAGCCAAAAAGCTGAGCAAATCGCTGGAGTCAACGAAGCTACGGAAATATGAATTGAAGATGCAACTCAATCGACAGGTAAGCAACATAAATCTCTGATCTCTGATTAGTTAAATATATAAAATTTAATTATTTTCCATCCTTTCAGCATTTGCTGCAGGTCTGCAGAATCAACGAGCAGGAGCTGGTGACGATTGGCGTGCAGACGAAGAATTACTTGAGTATGCTGCCTCCGCCTTATCAGCGCAAGAAGTTCGGCGCTTCGTAGTTAGGAATTCACTGTACCACTACAGTAGTAACTAGTTAAG